GGCAATAGCAGAAAGTGACGAGTGATTTTATTGACGAAGTAATTGAGGGATCTTTTTATATACAAATTATTGCACGAACATTGATATCATTGGTGTATCTGGAAAGAAGAAGGTGTTTCGAGACTTCGTCCACCCTGTTTCTTGACAGAACTGTTGTTAGAGTCATTACTTTGTTCAGTAAATATTTTGTATCTTCTATTTCGTGTTTGCTTCTGTCAAAAAAGCAAGCAAGCACACCAAATTCAGATTTTTTTCTGTTTGTTGTGTGAAATATGGTAATTGAACATTCGTTCTTTATTACCATGTGTTTACAACAAACAAAGGACATCCAGTACGATGATACACCACTACCAATATCGAAGTGTATATGTTGGAAACCCGTGCAAGATAAACAGAATGGGTGTGCTTGTTTCATTTTAGCAACCTGTTATAAATGGGCGCGTTACACAGTCTCTGCAAACAGAGCATAGGACTGCCTTTTACGCCTATTTTTGGGTCGTGTTTACCTGTACAAAAGTAACATTTGTTGTATTGGGCTATTTCTAATGTGGCGATTCAGGACATATGTAACAGGAGTCATGTTACCCAAACCAGACTTTTTTGATAAACGCATGTGTTTTTTCTTTTTAACTAAAACCCTTAACATCTTCAGACAAAAATAATACAACACTTGAAAATATAAAAAGTCACGTGACTATACAATAAAGAATGACATCGAAATGCTTATTTTTCTTAAAAGAAAGTAGACTTTGGGGAAATACCGAATGGAACCAAGGATAGATCTTTCCATGGTTACGATCAATTATGATCTATTCATCCTTCGATGTTGTCATGGCAAAATCAAATGCCAGTCTGTCCGCCTCCTGCAAGCTGGTGCGAATTATTTCCCTTACATTGAGTAAGAATAACTACACACGGAAACAGATGGAAAACATAGATTAGACGGCGAATCAGAAGTCGCCAAGGTTGAATGTGATGAATTCAAGCCGGACAGTCATGGGTAGATGACAGGAGAGTTGTGGCTGAACACGTTGTCCACTTCATCTTCGAAAGAGTACGGGAAATGGGCATTGGATAATAATATTAACAATATAACGTAATATCTTTGGGGGCTTAAACTAGATAATGAAGTGTTTTAACATGACGTTGTACATTTCACTGGCCGATCTAATGCCGGTTTGAAACCTGCTAACCTGAAATTGAACACGCGATACACATGTCCTACTTGTGACTACGATAGATAACAATAATATGCACCAAGCCCATTCCTTAACGTCATTCTACTTTTGGATAACACACAATGTGTATCGTCGTTAGTCATGTGTAGAGCAATCCGACTGCTCGACAGTTGACCAATGGGTGGACAGTTTATATTTAATACACCAATAACGATCCAAGTTTTATTTAAGCAGTTTTTTTAGTGCCGATCTGTTACATAACAATCACCATGTAAACATGTACTAACACGGATGTGTCTCTTCAATACTGTCTCAATGATACGTTTTTACTCGTTAACATTCGTTAAGGAAATTGTAGTAAATTTTATTATCATGATTTAGGTGAACATTCATTTGCAATCTGAATACAGTTATAGATATATACACCATCTATAATTCATTTGTAATAGTTCATTGCCATTATGTAATGATGTAATTTAATGGAGCATAGAAACAACATGTACTGTGAATTAGTTCGATCTTGTGCGGTTATATAAATCATAAATGTATATATTTCGCTATAATCAGCATTCTCAGATCTATTAAGAGGCGACTATATAAAGGATTGTTCTTTATTCTTCAAATTTTTCATTTATTTTTGTTAATGCCCATTAACTTTTGACAATGATGATCAATGTTTAATCATAAGAGGACCCCCAAGACCGACACTTAAATACGGCTTCCGTCCCCAGACCGAGATTAACCACGGTTTACATTTCCAGGCCGACACTTGCCTACGGATTCCGTCCCAAGACCGATATTACCTACGGCTTCCGAACCCAGGCCGACACTTGACTTCGACTTCCGTCCCCAGAAAGAGATTAACCACGGCTTCCGTCCCCATACCGACATTTAACCACGGCTTCCGTCCCCATACCGACAGTTAACCACGGCTTCCGTCCCCAGACCGACAGTTAACCACGGCTTCCGTCCCTAGAACGAGATTAACCTCCGCTTCCGTCCCCAGACCGAGATTAACCACGGCTTCCGCCCCAGAATGTGCTTAACCACGGCTTCCGTCCCCAGAACGAGATTAACCACGGCTTCCGTCCCGAGACCGAGATTAACCACGGCTACAATCCCCTAGACCAAGATTAACCACGGCTTCCGCCCCCAGACCGAGATTAACCACGGCTCCCGTCCCCAGATCAATATTAACCACGGCTTCCGTCCTCAGGCCAATATTAACCACGGCGTTCGTCCCCAGGCCGAGATTAACCACGGCTTCCATCCCGTAGACCAAGATTAACCACGGCTTACTTCCCCAGACCGAGATTAACCACGGCTTCGCCCCCAGATCAATATTAACCACGGCTTCCGTCCCCAGAACGAGATTAACCACGGCTTCTGTCCCCAGAACGAGATTAACCACGGCTTCCGTCCCCAATCCGAGATTAACCACGGCTTCCATCCCCTAGACCAAGATTAACCACGGCTTCCATCCCCTAGACCAAGATTAACCACGGCTTCCGTCCCCAGACCGATATTGACCACGGCGTCCGTCCCCAGGCCGAGATTAACGACGGCTTCCGTCCCCAAGCAGAGATTAACCACGGCTTCCGTCCCCAGGCCGAGATTAAGCACGGAAGCAAAGATGATTATGTTGGTATTTGTATTAAGAGGTTAAGTGGATTGTCAAGCTTCTGTGTTCGTATTATGACACTTCAGTGGGATGGCACTAAATGAGTTTACACTGTCTTCAAATATGCTTGGTTGTTGCGATGACGTAAAACGCCTAGCAAACAAGCAGGTCAAAAAGTGAAATATATATTTTTTCTAGTTAGCTAGAAAAAGGTGAAATGTCCATTGTGTTAACCTACTTTTATTCCAAAATAGCGATTTTTTAAATTTCACAAATGTCGAATTTCCTGAAATTATAATCTTTACATGAAATGGTACATATATTGTGTGTTTCACGTCCCAACACTAGACAATTGTACATGTATGTGTTTTAACGCTGGAAAATTGAACATATTCTCGTATTAACTTATTTATCAAATAAACTGTGAATTCTTTGAATTTCTGTTCTGTTATCCTGTAAGTACTTCCTATCTCACGTTAGATCGCGTGGTATATGTGTAGAATACACATTCCATGTTAAGGGGAATTCCTCGTTACTGTGCAGTTTTCCACACCCCCGCATTTGACATATATTTTCTCCATTCATGTGAAGTTACAATAGTGGACTAGCCCTTGGTTTATAGTAAATAAAGATCCGGGATCACTGAGGCGCGTCAACTCTCTGTCAGGCCATTTTCTAGCCATATATAAACTAACGCTCGCCGTAGTTTAATATTTAAATATCCGATAGTGATCACAGTGTTACAGTGTCTACGCTTCATAATGCCAGTGTAAGTATGTGTTATATATCTATCATATGGTGCTACGGTCAGCGGTTAGTTCAATTAGTAAATAAATATGAATTATTTATGATACAATAACGATTGTTGGCATTTGATACGCCACTGACAATACTTGCAATGAAATATTCTATTTGATTTAATATTCAGAATGAAGTACTTAAAATTTGTTTACAAATCCTCATATTTGTGTACTGCTAGTGTGTTCTGTATTTCGTGTTGTATTGTATATATGCGTGAATGAACTGTAATGAAATACTATTCAGATTTTAAATTTGCACGCCATAGGTATTTACCGGTTTTGATGTGTAGAGATTTTAAAAACGTTTTACAATTACATAATATTCAGCTATACATTATTATGAGGTCTTGGTCTACCCTGAGTGAGTACAAATGAATGTTGAAGGGTTTAGGAAGTTAGATAAAACTCGGTATAAATACTAAAATATCTTGTTGAAACGTCATCGCTATTCTGACGGGTGAAATATATTTTTGAAAAGTTATTTTAAAATCCGAGTGTGTTTAAAATGATAGAATTGTTTAACGTTAACAAAAGAAATTGAAAGCAGCTGATGTTTTGAGGAGCCAGTTAATCTGGATGGTTGCTTTCGCCGGTTGTATTTAGTATTCGGCATTTTATGACACTTTTGATGATGGACATGTATGAGTATATTGTAAATACTGTTAAACTGATGATGTTTTGTTTTAATCCGAGGAAACGATAGGCTCAAGATCAATAAAAAACTTAAATTAACCAAGTCAACTTTATCAAATTATTCATGTCCATGTGGTATGTATTTAAAGTTCTTCATCATTAACGTTTGAGCTCGTTCAGTATAACCTTATTTAATAGTTAAATTAAATTACAAATTACAATAAGTCTCCTTCTAGTAGAATTATTCTAAGAAATTAAATGAATAATGAAACACCGTAAATTATATTTAATAACTCGGCATATTCATTGTTTTTTTTCCTGTCTCTATGCGAACAGTTATTACAATACTTCGATATGACCAGTCGTGAGATACACTTACTGGTACATACATTATTGCATTGAATATACCGAACATTTAAGTGCCGAAATGTTAACAAAGCGTATAGATATGATATGTTGATGTCTCTTTAATATAATTGTTTATATTAATGTCATCACCTCGAGGTATATGTGCAAGTACCAGCCTCTAGTAGGTATAAATTTGATAAAAAAAAGTTGAACCTTATGTCTGACGTTCGAATGAACAACTATGTGAGAGGCATGGCCGTATAGCTTGCGAGCTTCGTTCTGTTGAAGTTGAATGTTTTTTGAAAACATTCTCTGTAAAACAATATATATACATTTATTTATTGAAATATCTATACTTGTAAATATAATGTATACTCAATGCCATACGGGTGAGTTAATGGTTTTCCCTCTATTTCACAGATACGGAATGCAGAAGATTCCTCCCTTCCCTTGGTACTGGGAAGAATGGAAACCAAAGTAAGTCGTATTTCTTCTTAGTTACAATAGTTACATGTACACAAATGTAATACGTAGACTGACCTATACTTATTTCGTTGTTAAAGAACATCGTCACGACAATATTTCTTATACTTAAAATTATTGGTTGACAGGTTTTCCCACCTCACTGTAGTGTGTACAGTGATAATTGAGATTTTGTTTACAGACAGATAAAAATATATGTAGATAACTAGCTGAATGATTACCCGTGATCTGGTCACAGCTCTCACTTTCTTAGTACAAGGAATGACAACTCTGGGCAACTCAAAATACACGTTTAAGAGCGATAACTCATTAACGTATATGAAGATACGGGGTATACTTGTTCATCCAGTCGTTTGGTGGGTGAAAGGTATCCTATTGTTCATTAAATCGTTTGATAGTCAAGTGGTTTCCTAATTGCACTAAATTGTATTGACATGTACATTGTAAGAGAAAATTCTGAAAAAATAACTACCTACGGAAGGTTTTTTTCTTTTTTCTTTGCAACATAGGAAAATAATGATAATTGTTTACTGAACCGACTCTGAAGTATAATATTTTCCTGGTATGTAATATGTATGACTATTAACGGCTATACAAAAATGAGCCCATTGTTGACGACAAAAGACCGATAATGGGTATTAAAGACATGTGAATACGTGTTTTAAGCATGGATCTTAATGATTCTATGACTTGTATTATTTTCATTAAATTGCATGCTTAGTGCTGGTATGTTATTAAGTGTATTTAAAAAATAAATATGTATGCATATCAATTTTAAAACTGACTTTAAGCATGACGTGGTACAGCTAGTTATTTACGATTGTGTTGAGTTGTCTCCCTTCGTCCAATTCGTGAAAACATCTACTGATTTACAATTAATCAACTTCACGGTATTGTTATATTTAAACTCAAGATCGATATCAATCAGAACGAAACAAATCTTTTAACATGAACAAACAATTTTACAAACATACATATATTTAATATATCATTGATACATACTATAAGTCTGTTTTCCTCAGTTTAGTTTTGATTGGGAAAATCCCACGTGAAATAGCCTTTGAAAATCGTCAGTATTTGTAGTATGGTAGATTGTAATGAGCGTCTGACTCGGGGCTGGAAGGATGATTGGATGATGGAAACGAATTTAAAGTCACATAATCGATTATTCAGGTAAATACTGCAGAGAAAGGCCATTTCTGGGTCAAACTAGAAGTCATTTCGACTCTGTATCTTTGATACCCGTTGGTCTGTCAAAATAGAATCTGTGAACATGTGACGTCATTACAATAAATTAATTGACGTCACAATTGGCTATATTACACATTTATAACACACACGGCAATCGTATAATATGCATATTATCTTAGATTAGTTTTCATTTCTTATGAGGTTTTTGAAACGAGTCTTGGAAATTAATATCATGCAGACATTGATTTAATATTCTGTTTAACATATAACTCATTTGACAGGCATTGAAGCCACGGTGTAGATGACAATATCAAACGGAGGAAGTTATTTTATGTTACTTTCAATTCATGACGTAACGCCATCGTCCACATTTAGACATCACAATGGGTTTCTGAGTGGCTCTGCCAATTAACGCCAATCTCGGGTTTATTACACTGGTGACATACACAAAAAACTATTACATGGTCGAAATCACGAGAATTCAGGCAGATTATGTGATTAGGATAAGTTGGGACCCGTTGTCCTTCCAATGTGGGCATATATCAAATTCTACGCTATAACGACTTGGGAAGTCCATACTTTGTTCCCAAATTTTATAAGCACTGTCTGTGCGGATAGATAATGACCGATAACTCAGGATACATCTATAATTAGCATCACTACATGTACCATGATGACGTGTCTAGTGGTTGTGTACATAATTATATAGTTCCGGGTGGAATTTACATCAGACATAGCAACACGTGTATTGCTGCATGACTATACTGTATATAATTATGGTAAAGCCACAAGAATGGGTTACAAAAGATACTGGGGTCTTATTTATCACGGCTAGTAAGACGCTGGTAGACAAGTAAAACCTTCTTACTGCACAGACTGTCCTAGTACAAACACCCTCACCTTATATAACAAATAATTAGGTCACTGACTTCGATTTAAACTACTGAAATAAAGTGGTAGAAAACATGCACGGTGGTGAACCACTTTTAATCCTATACACCATTGCCTAAAGTCCTGGTAAATAGATATAATCTTATATTGTCCTTAATTTCAATTTCTTTCGGAGTTCGTTCTGATACAACTTGGAATTGTTTACCTTCAACAAAGTTGCCTCCCTTCAACCGTACTTTTAAGCAGACGATTTTTACTCGAATGTACTTGGCAGGGGAGGGGCTTGGTAGGAGTTGGGGTGGGGAGTAACAAGATCAAAACGATTTTAATTCAGAAGTATAGACAACCATTCTCTTATCCTATTTCCCCCGAACAAAAACCCTCTGGGTAACTAATTGCGTTATTCCACCTGCCAGGCTTTCCCCACCTCTAACAATGTAATAATGACACGTTGTAAAGTTAACAATGTTGATAATATTGAATCTGTCGCGTGTTCACGAGCTATTCTGAATCCTCGCAAAACACTTTACACTCCATGAAATATTAACTGGGGCGCAGACGTGTTTGTCTACGTTTCAAAAGTAGAAAACGCGTTATTAACACCCAAACTGTGTATACATTCTTGATAAATACTTACAATTATAGTTATTTCTATACATAAAAAACCTAACTAACGCTGGATTTTACGGAAGGTTAGATTTAAGTACACAAAGTCAATAAAGCATTGGACTATTTACCTTTAACAATAGTTGGAGGGCGTGACTTCCTCGGCATTATCAATACAATAAAGAAAATCACGATTTTCTAATTTTCAGAAACGCACACTCATTCATGCGTTAGATGAAAAGTTGTGGTTGATTGCCTAACATGAAATATTCATAAGTAATATTAGATAAACTTCTGAAATCTTGAATGATAATGATGAATGATCTTTACAGATATGTGAACACGGAGATACATATAACTCACGTATACAGTCGGCTATGAAATGCAGTGAACGAACATGAGTCGCAACTATTTATAGTTGAAATTTAATGAGAATTTAAGCTGGATGTGACCTAGGCAAAAGGAAGTATATTTGTTCTATATGATACAGTTATGTGATTTGTCCAGCATTAGGTTTCACTGGGGAAATTCAGTTTTATCTGTTCACATAGATTGCATACACAAACAGCCTCAATAAGAGTGCCTACTTATAATCGCGCTGATTAAGACGAGGAAGTCCGTGTAACATAACACTGCGTTATATAATTCTTTGTTAGGTAAGTAATGTCTGGCCTTGTCAAGTTTAAGGATGTGCAAGTAATTTTGTTATTTTTTTGTTTTTGTAGTCTTGTACTTCTTTCGTTTATTATGGTAATTCCGCATCACGCTCTTTAACGTATTCATGTGTGTGTGTGTGTATGCACGTATTTTTTAACCGGGTTGTCTTGAACAGGAGGACGAAGGTGTGTAGTCGTGACAATATACCAAGTCCTCTCCTCAGAAATCTCGTTTAGTTCTTAAAGGTACAGTAATGACACTATGGTATTATAAATTTGTTGTCTTAAAGGATTAGCTGTCTCCACAAAGTATTGACGGCGAATTAACCCCGAGTAGATATAGATATGTATGCTAGTGTCATTACAGTAAGAAGTTTAGATCATCAGGCTTCTACGAATGTATCAAACCAAAGGGAATGTGCAAAGTTATAAGTTGATTTGAAAAGTATGTAGAAGGTTGTCTGTTGATTCGAAAGGAATGCAGAAAGTTGTCTGTTGATTCGAAAGGAATGCAGAAGGTTGTCTGTTGATTCGAAAGGAATGCAGAAAGTTGAATGTTGATTTGAAAGGAATGCAGAAAGTCGAATGTTGGCTGAGACAGGTTTTAATCAAACTTATGCAGTCTAATATTTGATTAAATAGAGGTATGGTGCGATTTTATATTTAGCAATACTTTATCAATTTCCTTATTCTAATCGAATGGTACTACGGAGATGCAGCGTTTTAAGTACGAGGACTTTGCACCAATTCTCATCCAAAGGTTTATGCACATACATATCACTATAGCAAATGAAAAACTGTAAATGCACATGTAGCAGTGTTGTCTGACAGAAAGATATTAATATGTATATCAAAAATCTTGACAGCTGAAAACTTAAACTGACCACATCATTCTCTGCAGTAAATCACAAGAAAGGTCTTGCAACAAATTAAGTTGTCGTTTGTAATGCTAATCAACCACATGTTTATGCCATGTTATGTAATATGTTGTTACCATGAATTAGAAGTCTCAGATTATCGACCGAAAAACCCCCCAACTATATATATATTTTCCTGTAATAGTACAGGTGCCATTCTGTGTCGATTCTCTTTTCCCATATTACCATGACAAGGACGGGAGCACAAATGGCGAATTTTTCATATCTTGTCTACCTATGTACGAGATGAATGGCTGAGAAGTGATTTAAAAAGTTTCACATACTTTAGTAGAGGTGTAAAACTTTTGAGACGCCCCCTGTATACTGCCGAGGGTAAGTGATATCGGGTGAGGACCTGGTTCCGGTTCGATGACGTCAGAGTCTCCCTGCCTGTCGACTGACAATTATTAAATAGTAGTGGCTAGCTTTAGGACGGTTTAGCAGATAGTTGGCGTGCATTTATCCGGTCAACACCTGGTAACTACGTATTTTATGACTCAAATTTACAGATCAGAAGAAATTGACTAAGAAATCTGAAAATGATTCGCTTACTTCTATTTAAGTTAAAGTTATGGCGAGGTCGTGTGTGTTCTATGGAGGTGTTAAAACTATGTTTGTTTTTGACAGAGAGCCTCTCGTTAGGAAAGTACCGCAGTACAGCGTCGCTAACGATGTAGTGGACGGTGACCCGTTCTCTCCTACACCCAGTCCACACTCTCCCAAACACAGCAAACACAGGCCCAAGGAGATGTCATTGGACAAAGTGTGAGTATAGTTGCCTTCTTAATTCTATTTGACCAATAACACTATGCTGTATGCCTCCCTTGCAAAATTAGCATATTTTAACTATATATTTGAGGCAAATTTTAACCGTTTAAGATACTCAAGGATGAAATTGAAATCCTGTGGTAACTTAACGTGTTAATGTACAAGAAGCCGGCGTTGCCACAATGTGAAGGTTTTCATCCATTGAAATGTTTATAAATGTATTTTTTGCTTCTATAAAAAAATATTTTAGGACATGTGATATTGTAACGAAAGAGATTGTATAAGATACCTATGCCAGCCCACGTACAGAGATACCTTAGTTTATCTACATACATCTGTCATTTACAGGTATATGACTACCACATTCAACATTCCGTTATGTTTTAAGAGTGTAATTAATTGATGGCGGGTCTCTGCTACTATATATACTTAAATAAGTAGATAATGTTAAACTGCCGGGTTAGGGAGAAAGAACAGGGAGTGGTACAGATTTTATGTTTTTTGAGGAAATTACACGGACTTTTCAATATATAGGAAGGTGACATTGTGGATGTGTGCTAGAGAAGGCTTTCATTTTCCTGACTGCATTATCATGCGTTGCCATTTCCTCATTTAAATACAATATACCGGAACGTTCCTGTATAATGTTGACACCACTAGAATGTCCTATACACAAAGGAGTACATCGCTCCATGTCTATATTTAGGTCAAACACTTGTTTACCTGGATATTTCTACTTGTCTGTCAGTTTACATAAAAAGGTTATTTTAATATGTTAAAAAAGGAGTAGCTCAGCTTTAAGTCCTCGTCTTTTCACTGAATCGACACGTATAAGGGTCTAAACTAGTCTACGCTATACATAATATATACAGGGCAACTATAACACCAGAGGCAGCAACATGTATTCCGGTTCCAAATAGTGAATTATAATTCTAGGAAACATTTTAATCACTCAAATAAGCCCATATAGATCAACAACCTGTCAAAGTTTTTCAATTTTGTTGCCAAAAATTAACAGTAGATTTTTTGATTATTCTATATAAAGTAAAAACAATCCCCTATTCTGTTGTTAAGGCGCCCTCGGGTTGATGACAAGTTTAATTGCATTTCTCTAACTGACAGCGTTTGATTATACAGCCATTGAGGGATTGGATTTTCTAGTAGAACAGTAGAAATCATTACAAACGTGTTACAGGTCACCTGTATGACCCAGAATGTGACCATTACTGACCACTACAAGTAGATACTATCGTTCTAGGGGACTGCATGCCTAGGAAGTATATGGTGTTATCTCATACTAGAATCTCAACGCTTGTGGGGTTTTAAAGGCTGCTCTATAGGTGGATAAACTTAATGGACAATTTACACCTGTCTGACCTTTTCGTCTGTCTGAACCTCTTGCAGTAACATTAGGTTGACGAAAATGTAGCTAGCGTTGTACATAGTTATCGAGAATAAATCCATCATTTAACAACGTTTAACGGGGGCTACCTAATTCACACCAGCAGGAAAATGTCATTTCAAAGGCGAACGACCTGGTACATAATGTTACGTTTCTCACGAGACATACTTCCATTTTTGATTATGTAATCTAAATTTAATACAACTTTTTATTGATGAAACAAATGCTGTGATTCATTTATATGAATAAACATGTTGGATAAAGTCATAAGTATAGTGAGGTGAAATTCTCTCCGAGTTTGATTAACTCAACTAGACTGAAAGACAAACCAATATTACGTAAGTGTTTATTTATTCTCATTTACAGGACTAATTAATTCTAATTAATAAGGTTTAATTCTCTAAGTAGTCGGGCCATTTCGAAACACGATAAAGTAGATTTAAGAACTATTGTTGGGGTAGCATGTTTACCGAAGTGTTTTACTGACTAATCTGCGCTCATATATTCTTCTCGCATCTTAGATTTCGATAATGGGTAAACTTTATCATCTGTACCTAATTCTTTGTTCAGTACTTGTTAAAGATTTAGAAATCGTGTCAAAACTCAAAGTAAATTACGTCTTGAACTTCGGAAGAAAATAATCGTAAAGTATCTGTGAAAAAAATCTGTGTAACCATGGACTAGTTCGGGAGATGGAAAAGAATGTTCCAATTTGCTAGGAGTTATAATGCTTCAGATATTTTGTACAGGACATGGGTGTTATATAGAAACGGTTGCTATGGCGATAAATGTTCGATTCGTTTCAGAACTTTTTTTTAGGATTAATACGGTATATACAAGCATGATGAGGAGAACAGATCGACAGTTACAAAATTTGTAGTTTGGCTTTATAAGCCGGATGATTCAAGTGCTTTTAGTGTTGTTTTCTGTCTGAAATTCTGAGTATTTTACATGTTGACTACCGTATGTAATAAGCTTTAAAAAGTGATTGTGTATAACATACACACATACATGGAAGTGACTTTCATGGCTGCTGATCTGTTACGCTAGCCTGTTGTACTAGGTAACAAGTATAAACCGATTATGATATTTAGTGTGTGACCTCATATGATACCTTAGTACTGTATACCGAGATGTCTTCGCCCTATTTAATGCGTGCACCATTACACACAGATACGCCGCATGTCCATTTCGCCCGCTGAGGATTAGATATAAATTGTAACAAATTTCCATCTAAAATTCGCCCTTCCTGTTCATGGACGAAAATGGCAAAACATTCCCAATATGCTCAGTTGAATGACGCGACTTTGAAAAAAGAACCCAACTTAAAAAAAAAAAAAAAAAATGCCAGTGAAATGTGTTATTTTTCACGAGTGAAGAAATACAAAACCAGAAACCTGAAGGTGTTGTTTGTTAGTTACAGGTAATACAATTCCTTGTTAATCTTTCGTTTTAATGAAAGTAAGCAAACAATGTAACACTAACTACCGTGTAATACATGAAATCCAATCTTCAGCCGAATGTCAAAGGCGGAGCGAACACGTGAGAAAAGCGACAATTGTAGGTTGCCGCCATTTTTTTCCGCCGCGTAGTAGCTTGTCATCGGTGAAACTCTCTGTGGATGTCTTACTGCAAATTTTGTCTGTTTGTGACATTGATAAGTACAAATTGCTTTGTGAATATAGAAATAAATCACACTGATATTCATTCATGTGTTAATATTTCTTTAATGATTTTTTAAAAACAGGCCATATTTTACTATAAAGGTATACTGAGTGTCCGTGAGAAGCCTAGTCAGCTTTCTTCTGTTATATCTGTTCTAAATATGCCAGGGATTTTGCTGCGCGCTCGTGAAAGATACTAAAACATTTGACACACTTGTGAAGTAGATTTTTTATTACTGAAGACACTCTTAAATATCCTCTATTTAACCATTAAAGAAAACACACCATTTGTACTCAGATTCGCCTTAAGTTTCTAGAGTCGATACGAATATTTTGTCGATTCAATGTCGTATGCAGGAATCAGAGTAGTTAGGGACAAGGCCGTGTTCTGTAACATAGTACTAATAATTCCTAGATCCTGTATGTAAAACAAGGCTTATCGTGAAAGCCTAGTAAAATTATTGTCCTACAACATGAAACTTGACAAAGTCGTGAATGCTTATGTAAAGTTGTCTGTAGTAACGATGCGTGTCATAAAGCGATAACACTGTTTATTGAAACAATTCAAAAACGACAATTCAACAGTGTAAAATAGGTCATTCTTTTTACTCACATGACGTCAACCAGTGAACTTTTTCGTGACATAAGGAAGTCAGTGTTATCATAGTCGGACTGATGACGTCACGGCATGAACCTCATGACCACAGTGTTAATGCCATACTATTCTGTATAAATACAGAATCTTAATATATATACAAAATCTTAATCTATGAAACGAGTCCTCGACTTTTTCCTTTTTATACCTTTGTCGATGTTTAATGAAAACGACGTGGTTTTTTATAATTAATCTAGGAAATAAAAACGAACGATAACTTATATTTATCACAACATATACTTTTGCTATATTCGTGAATACATCATTTTACTGTTGATTGATACAAAATCTAACATGGTGTGGTTTTATATCCCTTTCTTTGATGACGTCACAATTTATATACATTGTAACACCATGAGCTTATGACGTCACAATCGAGAGTGGAAACAGTGGGAACATTAAGCCAATCACAGCTCACAGGGGATAACTGGTCTCCATGTTTTATATAAGTGTGTACTTGTAGCAAGAAGACGTTTCTAGGATGTTGTTAACCCTTTGTCGCGTCACGAGAAACGACTTCACGTATATCATACTGAATCAGACATGACTTTTCCACTTGTGAATTCATGTATATATACATAACATGTAGACTCAGGGTAATCACAGATGTTTTATTTAAATATCCTTCATTAAGCAGTATCGTTCAATCAAGCAAAACAGATAGTAAAACCTATTCAATAGAAATACATGTTCCACACATTGTTTGCCGCAGGCTTGTGTATATATTATTGTAACGGGTTATCCATTGTATGTCAGTCTTTACAACCTTGTGTCAATCCAAGGTATTTTCTGATCTGTTGCGATAAATTCATATAGGTTATATTTTTTTGCATAGAGAATAATGAATTTCTTTGCTTTATTCATTTTAAGAATAAAAATTATAAACCCTTTTTTTAAAATCTTGTGATCTAAATTACCATTTACTGTCTTACTAGCCGACACAAAGAGAGGGATTCTTGTCAACTTTGTGACTAACAAGGTCGTCACAAAGACAGGGGTTCTCGTAAACTTTGTGACTAAGAAGGTCGTCACAAAGACAGGGGTTGTGGTAGGCTTTGTCACTAACTGGGCTGACATCAAGCCAGGTCCTTGTAAACCTTGTGACTAACAAGGCTGACACATAGACAGGGTCCTTATAAACTTTGTGACTAACAAGGTCGGCACAAAGTCAGGAGTTGTGGTAGTCTTTGTCACTAATTGGGCTGACATCAAGACAGGTCCTTGTAAACCTTGTGACTAACAAGGCTGACACATAGACAGGGTCCTTATAAACATTGTGACTAACAAGGTCGTCACAAAGTCAGGAGTTGTGGTAGGCTTTGTCACTAATTGGGCTGACATCAAGACAGGTCCTTGTAAACCTTATGACTAACAAGGCTGACACATAGACAGGGTCCTTATAAACATTGTGACTAACAAGGTCGTTACAAAGTCAGGAGTTGTGGTAGTCTTTGTCACTAATTGGGCTGACATCAAGACAGGTCCTTGTAAACCTTGTGACTAACAAGGCTGACACATAGACAGGATTTGTTGTAAACCTTGTGACTAACAGGGCTGACATCTAGATATGGTCCTTCCGACCGTTGCAATAAGAGCGCCGAAACAAAGACAGAGTTGTTGTCAAGGAGTAGCATTGGAGGACCGGTACCAACTCAGCTGTCATTGCATACCTTGGCCTTAACAGTGCCTAAAAGACTAGAATCTTTGTAAACAGGGACACTAACCATGTCGACACAAACAGAGAGGTCATTGTAAACCGTTGATCTAAGAGGGTCGGCATCAAGACAGGAGTGAACACTCACACCTATAAACGTTTAAATATATATTTGTATATATATATATATGAATATGACTGGTTCCTTAAATGATACATGTATGAGCATTATTGAACGAGCGCAACTGGAAACCAGTGAATCGATGGAGGGTTTATAAAAAATCCGCTAGGTTGCTGGGAAATCCGTGAAACTCTTTTAATACGTCATCAATTTCTGGAAGATGATTTACTGTCAAGTTATAATGCCTAAACGATATATTGTACATGAACATATATGTATATAAATATTTCTTCAGCGCGGAATGTTGTCCGAGTATAGGAAATAAGAAGATAATGTCCTGCCTTATTCCGAATGATGGCTTTAGCGATAGACTTAAATGCCAACATGATCCAATTTTTAACCTTTTGTGTGTAGACACTGTTTGTTTAAGACCTATCTCTATAAAAGATACCGAGGTAGCGGTTAAAAGAGCTTATAAACCTACGCTAAGCCTAAATTTAGTTCCTGTCTACAATAGTCCCCAGCGTCTATAATGCAGATCATAGATTAAGGTCGTTTGTCAAATATGATATGTGTGAAACAGACTCACAAACCTCTCCTGTCGGAGCGGGTTTTTCTTTGTATCAATAAACGCGAAACGGAGCAGATTTCATTTTCTGTGGATGGATTGTGTTTCAAGGGAAATCGGGGTGTATATTGTCAGCTTAAGGTTGAATGTATCTAGATTAACTGCTGTTAGTGGTAGACCTGACTGTATCTAGATTAACTGATGTTAGGGGTAGACCTGACTGTATCTAGATTAACTGCTGTTAGGGGTAGACCTGACTGTATCTATATTCACTGATGTTAGGGGTAGACCTGACTGTATCTATATTCACTGGTGTTAGGGGTAGACCTGACTTTTTCTAGATTAACTGATGTTAGGGGTAGACCTGACTTTATCTAGATTAACTGCTGTTAGGGGTAGACCTGACTTTATCTAGATTAACTGCTGTTAGGGGTAGACCTGACTGTATCTAGATTAACTGCTGTTAGGGGTAGACCTGACTGTATCTAGATTAACTGCTGTTAGGGGTAGACCTGACTGAAAACATTGTAGACAATTTGATGGCATTTGAAATCAAAATAATAAAAAGGACGATACAAAATATCCATTCTTTTGTGGATGATGTTAAGGACTTTTCCCACAAATAGAAACAGTTTTAAGCCTGAGTATGTGAACTCGTAAGAAGGTGATCATCGTAGAATCATGAGGTAGCCTAGAACCCACCATAGAAAACATTGTAGACAATTTGTATAGAGAACATTTGAAATCAAAATAATAAAAAGGACGATACAAAATATCCATTCTTTTGTGGAGTGTTTAATGTTAAGTTTTCCCACAAATATATTTACCTGTGTGACTTGACAACATGAAAATGCCAGGAAATAAAAAAAAAAAACTGTATTATTTCCATGTCATGTTGACTTGATTATCAAATAGATAACAGCAAACATGTCAGTTTTCTTTATTTAAACTGTCTAAATACCTTAGTGTTTTATACCTTTTAGTGATTCGACGCTAAATATCCTTGCTTGTTATCCTATTATAAAATGTATAATCACGTCTCGTTTTTTACATGCAGGTTTGATCCGTACCAAGTCTTTGAGGTGAGTAGTCTTTATATTGTATTACGCTGTCTTTATTCCAAATAGCTACCAGAGTTGAGGGCATAATGTATCGCCTGTTACAGGTTAACTGTTAGATGTAAAGATATACAGTGATCGCCATTTACAATGTAGTTCTTATGCGTAGTTGTCAAGAGTAAGGAGGAATTACAATAACATCGTGTAGTGTAGTTGTCACGAGTAAGGAGGAATTACAATAACATCGTGTAGTGTAGTTGTCACGAGTAAGGAGGAATTACAATAACATCGTGTTGTGTAGTTGTCACGAGTAAGGAGGAATTACAATAACATCGTGTAGTGTAACTGTCACGAGTAAGGAGGAATTACAATAACATCGTGTAGTGTAGTTGTCACGAGTAATGAGGAATTACAATAACATCGTATAGTGTAGTTGTCACGAGTAAGGAGGAATTACAATAACATCGTGTAGTGTAGTTGTCACGAGTAAGGAGGAATTACAATAACATCGTGTTGTGTAGTTGTCACGAGTAAGGAGGAATTACAATAACATCGTGTAGTGTAGTTGTCACGAGTAAGGAGGAATTACAATAACATCGTGTTGTGTAGTTGTCACGAGTAAGGAGGAATTACAATAACATCGTGTTGTGTAGTTGTCACGAGTAAGGAGGAATTACAATAACATCGTGTAGTGTAACTGTCACGAGTAAGGAGGAATTACAATAACATCGTATAGTGTAGTTGTCACGAGTAATGAGGAATTACAATAACATCGTATAGTGTAGTTGTCACGAGTAAGGAGGAATTACAATAACATCGTGTAGTGTAGTTGTCAAGAGTAAGGAGGAATTACAATAACATCGTGTTGTGTAGTTGTCACGAGTAAGGAGGAATTACAATAACATCGTGTAGTGTAGTTGTCAAGAGTAAGGAGGAATTACAATAACATCGTGTAGTGTAGTTGTCAAGAGTAAGGAGGAATTACAATAACATCGTGTAGTGTAGTTGTCACGAGTAAGGAGGAATTACAATAACATCGTGTAGTGTAGTTGTCACGAGTAAGGAGGAATTACAATAACATCGTATAGTGTAGTTGTCACGAGTAAGGAGGAATTACAATAACATCGTGTTGTGTAGTTGTCAAGAGTAAGGAGGAATTACAATAACATCGTGTTGTGTAGTTGTCACGAGTAAGGAGGAATTACAATAACATCGTGTAGTGTAGTTGTCAAGAGTAAGGAGGAATTACAATAACATCGTGTTGTGTAGTTGTCACGAGTAAGGAGGAATTACAATAACATCGTGTAGTGTAGTTGTCAAGAGTAAGGAGGAATTACAATAACATCGTGTAGTGTAGTTGTCAAGAGTAAGGAGGAATTACAATAACATCGTGTAGTGTAGTTGTCACGAGTAAGGAGGAATTACAATAACATCGTGTAGTGTAGTTGTCACGAGTAAGGAGGAATTACAATAACATCGTATAGTGTAGTTGTCGAGATTTACGATGAAGTACAATTACGTTGAACAGTGTAATTAGTTGTCAAATTTACGAGGGATTACAATAACGTTGAACCGTGTAAATGTCAAAGTTTACGAAGAATTACAATAACGTTGAGGATTAATTACAATGACAATGAAAAAGTTAACTAGTCAGTGTTAAGGATGAATTACAATAATGTTGTATAGTTTAAATGTCTGGTGGGATCAAGGATTTATTTGTATTTCAGTGTATACAATCCAGATTTAGCATTGTGTTAACAAGAGGCCATATAAATAATATTATTAGGTGTTATAATATATGCTGTAAAATGCAAACAATGAATAAAGGGAACTTTGATCGCTCTCTCACAACACTTGTGAACAAGTGACGGCCGGTGCGGAGTCGGATGTGGACACTTGTCAAACGATTGTGGTAAAAGACATGTGCATCACTGACGGGTGTACTTAAGTTATAGAACGACCCCGTTTATGATAAAACACCAGGCAGTAACTGTTCGTTGTTCGTGATAGTTTGGTGCAAATCACTGTATATTGACGGAGGTCTTACTTATTGCTCAAGACTGGATCACTGAGTTAAGAATGGGTTATATCTCATTTTACTGACAGTAACTGTTGAGGCCCGGAAGCGCATTTTCCGTTGTCGTAACCTGCATGTCATACTTAAATTTATAACAAAAGTGACTTGGCTTAGAATACAAAAATTATCTTGACATTCATAAATTACAGACTTTATTGAAATATTCTTTTTCGATCACTTTTGTACATTAGAACAGCTGACGAGTCTTTAAATCTTTTAGCAACAGTCATCTGCAGTATTATGATTGATAGAACTACCCACTTGTTAAAACGGCGATAAATCAATCCCGTCTCGGTGTGCAATGCGTTCCCAGCAACGTGTGCACAGTATCTATACAACGATAAAAATCATACTGGTAGATATTCAAAATTTAGAAAAACCCTCAACTCGGATACGTAAAACTTCATATACAAAGTAAATCCTACGAAACACAAAGTTACACCTCCATTATATGTAAGAGGTCAACGGCTTCCCGGTGGCATCATAAATATACTGTGATCACGGAACAAGATCGATTAAACAAACATGCCCAGAGTCATTTAAAAATACCGCGGTAACTTGACAAGGTGTTGATCGTTATCACAGATGGCTTTCTTATACCATTTTTTCCTGTTTAGAGTGTCCCTACGCTATCGTGTTGTTTAAAGCAAGTATATCTTAAAGGAACACCAAAGTTATCATGTTTTATCTGAACGGTTACGTAGCATTAGCCACAGTAAATATACAGTACAATTCAGTTCAAGTATTTATTGCATACTTCTTAGTAAATTGATGGCAATACATTTACAACTTAGATAACGATTTATCAAATGAAGTAAAGTATTAGAGTATGATAGGTGAGTATAGAAACATTACTGGGAAGCTACACAAAGCGTGTCTTTTCTGTTGATAAATCAAAGCTAACATTGTTGGTCCAATTAAGTCGACTTGAATAAGATGTATATGTACAGAGGGGCGGTATCAAGCCTTAATTGATATTAGGTAGAAAAAGAGTGGATGTAACTGAAACGTTACATGACAACCAACGATTCATGACTTGAGTTCAGTGAAGGGTAACAATTTCAACTTCAATAAGCATGATGACAAATGTATCAGATAGCAATGTTTTATGTCACCGTCTTCTACATTGTACGTTGTCAGTGTTACCAGACCAACATAACATTTCAGGTTTATGTAAACACGTGATACCCATAGCAGTATAATTTATTACAACACTTTGCATAACCGGATTGTAATGCTGAAGTGGAGATTACATCGTAAAATATAAATAAAATATCTCATGTACAGAGATGATATTGACACTTATACAGCACATTGAAATGTTCTAACCACAACACCATAGCTAGACACCCTGCCAGTTCCAAATGTCTTCTCATTCATAATGTTCAGCTCCTACTTGTCTCTTGGTGATCTTCCTTACCGGTGCACTAGACCCAACAAGCGACGGAAGAAAAGAAATACAATCAAAACCAAGAAGTCACCTTAATTTTTGGGAACATCAATTCCAGCTTGTGGATAGCCGTTTTGTTAGATGTATCGTGAATGCAAAGGAAAGATAACTAACATTCTATGTTGTTGATTTTATTTCACACATAACATTTATTTGGAATATTTCCGATAACAGGTAGAACACAAGCCATGCTTGATCCTGACAGTGAGGGTCCTGTGTGGACGAAATATCACGAAAGGATGGATGGACTTACGTGAGTGTCAACTGTCGACATATTTATTTTATTGATAAAATAGCGTTTCATTTGAATTGCGGATTGCTAGCTTTCTTTCAATTTTCGTTGCTTTACCATTTTTGTTTGATATATTTTTGGAAAAAAAATTAAATCCTATTCGTTTACGTATACGGAACCGCCATTATCCGGAGAAAGTGAGTAGTTTTACTAATAGAATGCCTTTTCAGTTGATACGCCCGATCCTTACATCGTGTTAAGGATCCGAACAGCACCTGAAGGACGGCGGAGAACGGCCACTATTGACAATGAAATTAACCCTGTCTGGGCGGAGGAATTCACATTTCTTATGGATGAAAATGAACACAATGAAATCCGTGAGTTTTATATCTATATTTAGACAAATGTTTTAATTCCTTAAGTTAACTAAATACCACATACAGGAAGAAAATCACTGGAACCGCTGTCTTCTGTGTCAGTTATAGCAATGAGGTCGTGGATGGTGGTACTATATTACTGTCGTTTATCATATAAAGCCTAATATACCTGTATTGTAAGCAAAGCAAACATTATTATCTCTTCATAATTTCCGATAATACTCCTGTATATAGAACGGCATTCTTTACCATTTTCAACATAGAGTTAAACAACATTAGGGTACATTAGAAGTCAACATATATCATGATATGACAGCCTATTACTTAATTTAATACCAAACAGTAATTTGAATCGAATAATTATTCTTAATTTTTAACATCCACTGAATATTTCGGCGATTCAACTTACTGTCATAGTAAGTAGATATCCTATCTAACATTGATTATACACTGCATCACTCTCCCTGTCGATGTTCGGGTACAGTTCTTGAATGACATATTGTGATGACTAGACTGACAATACATATAAGTATACTACATTCCTTTGGTAGACTGTTCAATAGCAAGTTGGCTTTGTTTCAGAGATAGCACTGATGGAGGCTAATCCTGGCCAGTTCGACCAGAAGATCGGAGATGTCTGGTTCGATCTTACAGAAATACCTAAAGGCAAACTAGTACAGAAAACCTTCGTCTTTAACGATGTAAGTGGTCTCAAGTAATCCTCTCGTTTAAACAACACGAAACTAACACAAGGACAACCACTCGTATTCTAGTGACGTCTTGGTATACAGCTAATGAATTGAAGAATTTCTCACATATTTTTATTTCATAAAAGTACTCTGGTGGTGTATGAGAATATTGACTAGATCAACCATTGAAGACAATGACACTAGAGTACGACTCATGGTGCGTTTCATTGTGTAACCATATATAGAAATATAACGATCAAATTCACGAATAAAGTTATTTAATATTGGCTAAATCAAGCTGTATCAACGTCGCTATGTGAAGATTTTTTTAATTGATATTTTGTCTCACCTTGCAGGTATCAGAAGTCGACATGGAGTTTGAAACACATATTGAGTAAGTATCAAGTTTTCAAATGATATGTTATTTTCAAACATATTTTTCTAGTCCATTCGGTATGTGTAAGTTCTATATTCATGACACGAAATCTGCCTTTAATTGAACTTAGTTTTCTTATCCATTGTTTTTATATTCAGGAACTGAAATAAAATTGGAAGCAATTATTTGTTACATATTTCAACCGCCATCGGTTTTTATTGCAAGTCAAATCCTTCCGGTATAACACTCTTGAATATTTGACACTTTGAACGGCATAAACTTTAAAAAAAAAAAAAAAACAAAACAAAAACAACAACAACAAAGCTCCGGTGTTATGATATAGTTATACTGCAAAGTTTCATAATTTTTATGCTGTTATGACAAATACACTTTACAGTTACTTACTCAAATGTTTATATGTTTTGATAGTGTAGATACATGGTAATTATCATTTCTTTAGAAGTGTTTATACGTGGTGTGTGGTTTGATGTGTGATGTATGGATTCACGTGTGAGACATTGGTATAACATGTGATATATGGTTTGATGTGTAATTGGGTATAGATATGATTTATTTGATTAATATTATTAATAGCTAGTACCACATAATACAAAGCTATACTCGGCGAAGGTTAGGAAAGCCAACATGAAAAGCCCTTGACAAGCCGTTCTTGTATTTTCCGTCCTTGTTTTTTTCCGTTTTGAGCGAAAAAACAAACCTGGTGTAGAAAGATATTAAACATGTATTGTTTTAATCCGGTATTTAACACTGATGAATCCCAGCAAACGAAATAAAGTGTCATTTGTTTATCTTCCATGCACTAAAACTAGGCTGTGTTGCGTAGGAAAATGTCCATTTACGGAAACTATATTTACTTCTCACGGAAGTATTAAGGCGCAATCACAACATAGTTCTTCATTTCTTGTGGTCACAAAGAATAATTCACTCATAGGTGTATGAAAATATCTCGCATATTTATTATTGACAACCAAGTATTAAATACCTCAATAGGTCTTTTTCATTTTCACATTTTGGCAGTAGTTATGGGCTGATATGTAGGGTGGTTGGGATAATTTGGTTTAATATGTGATATAATGGGTTAGTATGTGATAATACGAGCTATTGTGTGATATAACGGGCTAATGTGTAATAGTATGGGCTAATGTGTAATAGTATGGGCTAATGTGTAATGTTATAGGCTAATGTGTTATATAAAGGGTTAATATAATATATAACGGGCTTTTGTGTGATAAAATGGGATATGTGTGATGTTATAGGCTAATGTGCTATATACAGTGTTAATATATTATATAACGTGTTATATAATGTGTTAACGAGTGAGAATTAGTCAATATGTTTTATATTGGGTAAATATATTGAGGTTACGTTTTAAGTATTGGGTTGGGTAAGATGTACAATAAAGGTGTGATAATTCATGATATCCTTGACATATTGCGTATATGTGGGTCATGTAATTGGGTTCATCTGTGATATATGGTTTATATGCGGATTTACTTTCAGTCAGGACCCCACGTTACGGTACAGCTTGTGTCTGTGTGATGAAGAAAAGGAATTTATCAGGCGCAGGAAGGAACGTGTGCGCGAGAGAATGTCTGAAATTCTAGGTGACAAAGGTCCCATGTCCGTAGATGAGGTATACCGATTGTCTAAATTGCTGAAATGACGATTCATATATAAACGGTTCTTGAGTAACTATTGCGTAATTCAATTGAAAGGAATCTATTAAGTATTTAATTCTAGATTCTCAAATCAATCACTGTATACGACGAGGGTAGCAAACCTGTTAAAACTAAGTACTAATAACACAACACAACGCTACAATTTGTAATTATCATTTTGGTAAATATGACACCAAAACGAAAAGTGAGAAAATTTCATAAATTACTGATCCAATCTGTCCACAGGTTCCCGTGATAGGGGTGATTGGTTCCGGAGGGGGTTTCCGTGCCATGGTGGGATACAGCGGCGTGGCTAAGGCCCTGGCCGACACTGGAATTCTCGACTGTACTACATATATGGCGGGCCTTTCGGGATCTTCGTGGTGAGTTATTGCTTTGTATCTTCAAACGAACATATCCAACATTTTTTTGGAATAATGTTTCAGCCCGTTGTCGCAGGACGAAATGTCTGTACGATGTTATTTAATTCATAACTCGGTTGTACTGTATCTAATTCTAGGCACATAGAAAACTACGCTTGTCTGCTGTGTTTTTGTTCATTTTTTATAACCATGCTCCGTATTCCTTTACATAAGATATAGTTCGGTTAACCATCATGGTGAAATTTCTATTTCAGGTACATATCGACATTGTATTCACACAAAAAATGGCCCGAAATGAACCCTGGGGACATGCAAGAAGAGCTGAAAAATAATATAGACTCTAGTCTGATGTGGTTCCTGTCACCGCAAAGTATATACAAAAATTTGGATCTTCTCATGCAAAAACGGAGAAACGGCCAGCCAGTCAGTTTCACGGACATCTTCGGACATCTTGTCGGTGAAACTCTGATAAAAGATGTAAGTTTCTTTCACGAATTTCGTAATAGTGATATGGACTGTTCCATGTAGTGTTCGTGGACACTCGTTTGGTCTGCTGTACTAAAATTGAAAATGCCATTTCGGTTAGAAAACCACACTTCTTTCATTAAAAAAAAAATCAATTCGAATTCTCCGACATTTTATTTTCAGCGGTTGGACTTTAGACTGACAGACATGAAAGAGAAGTTGTCGGATGGGCAGCGACCCCTTCCATTGATGACATGTGTGAACGTGAAAATGGACAGATCCGCCAGAAGTTTTCAAGGTAAATAATGTTATTTGAATTGGTTGTGATCCAGCTTAGCGTGGTTAGCAGGATATTCAGATGACAGTCTTTATAAATGTATTTGAATCATGATTGTGCTTGACATGTAGGTTATTTATGTATATCACAACCACACTTGTTCGTGTATATAATTTTAGGGTGACCAATGTTAATTATGTGATATACGGTTCGTTTTTTGTCACATGTGTTACCGTAAATTCAAGTTATGTTAATTATTCAAGGGCAATCTCTGCATTTATTACTACATAGAAGAGACTCTCAATTGTCTCTCAAATTTATTTGCCATTCAGAGACAAATTAATTGAAAGATAAGCATACGTCTTATTGTTACCTAGGAAACCTATTTATGAAAGTCCTAAAACACAACATTTCCTTATTGTAGAATGGGTGGAATTTTCACCGTTTGAAATCGGATTGCCAAAATATGGAACGTTTATGAAATCCGAAATGTTTGGATGCAAGTTCTTTTTGGGAAAACTTTGCAAGAAATTTCCAGAGCCCCCGCTACATTTTCTCCAAGGTAAGCTGAACCTCTTAATCTCATTAGGCCTTAACAGCTGTTGCATTTTGCGCGTGTTTACCTATGGTTTTTAGTAATATTCTAAGGAAATGAATACCTGTCTATGTTTTTAGCAATACGTATTTGTGTTGTATGGAAATGATGATAAGTTTTTTTTTTATCTAAAGGTATATGGGGCAGTGCTTTCTGCATCCTGTTCAAACGACTACTGGATGACAACAGGAAGTTGGATCCAGTGGAGATGATTCGTCAGGAAATGGGTAAATAGAGCTTGAGGATTTCAATAAAGCATTTTGTTGTTAAAATACCTATACATAGACAACACTGTGTAGCAGCCTCTACCTTCTTCAACATCTCTTTTGCCCTATGAGTTAAACATTCACTTAAGGGAGAAAAGGTTATGAGTTCTTTAACCAGATCAGAGTTAGATTTTATAGCATTGGCTGAAGCCGCTCTCTTCTTGACTTTTAGCGTCAAATGAGCTTGCAGTAATGTTGGGATGGCGAATTGTCAGTTTAATGTAAAGTAATGAAACCATATCAAGGTTACGATATTTCAGTGTAAGCATACTTTATGGGAACATTTAAGTTACCCCCGATTATCCATGGAAAACTTTTTATGTACGTGTAATTGTCTACATCAGACAATTTCTACACACAAGTTATTACATAATGTAAAATCGTCTGGCCTTAAACAATCCGGTAACTTTTCATGTTATTCGTACTTCTCTTACAATGTAAATAAAAACTTAAATATAAAAAGGAAACATATATGATGACGTGTTTTTGCATAGGAACAACTTAAAATAGCAACTTGTCGTCTCAATGTAAAATAGGATTACACAGCTTTGGCGATTCAAGAAGTATGTGTATATATATGTGTGTGCGGTAAAACGAAGAATTCCAATCTAAACAGTAGATTATTTGTGTTGTAGTTAAACAAATAGAGTTGAACCAGGAGGACGAAAGCAGTGACAGCAGTGAAGACGAAGAAGAAGAAGATATAACACCAGACGAGGTAAAACGCCGACGAGAAGCGGCTGTTCGCAACCGTTTCTCGTTCAGTGAGGAAGCACAGAAAAAACTTGCCATGCAGAATGGCAATGGCCCACCCCGCCAGATCAACCGGAAACAGACAGTTCGACGTACAAAGCAAAAAACCTACTGGCAATCTTTCCTCACCGGAATTCTAGAGTGAGTTGATGATGACATTGTTGAAACGGCATTGCTTTGAAATTGTTTATATCTAAAAAAATGAATTGTACAAAACGAAAATAATGAATTTGTATACTCTGATTCCAAATGATAAGAACAACCTTGATGTTGTGGAAATGTAAATGGCTTGCAAAGGTCGGAAGATGGAAAAGGAAAGCTTTAACAAAACTATTTCCAAGTAAAACAGGCAATAAACGCATTACAATGTAGTCAAAATGGCTGTAAATACTCTTAGTTTTCTAACATCTAAATGCCGTTGACTTAAAATGTGGTCGTAATGTCACAGGAAAAAGGTTGAGTTACTGAACACTCGTGCGGGACGTGCAGGCGTTGTACATAACTTCATGAGAGGACTTTCCCTGCAGCAGACGTTTCCACTATCCCCGTTCACGCCTGCAGACAACACAACCGACACACGAGTCAGTGGTGAGTACGATTTTGCAGTAAGTGTATAGACAGCCAGAACCAGCAGTTTCCCAAGAAATATCATTTATCTGTTATCAGTTGTGCTTATATTTCTATATATTATTAAGTCAGTTTTGAAAATGTTCTTATTATTTTTAAAACATTATGAAAGCTGTCTTTGATGTATTATACGTTGTTTTCTTATCAATTATGCGTGAAATATACTTAATATGAACGAAATGTTCATTTGTCGTGGTTATTACATAATGTATGTGCTGCTTATTTAGTTAACACTAAATATGATATCTTGGGATGCCTTGTAATAATCTAATTGTTTTGAATCTACTGCGAATTCCATATCGTGATACACTGTCATATGTAGATATCCAATTAACTTAAGTAAAATAGATATTGCTATCTATTACAGAAGATAGATTTTGTCAATATTGGATTGATGTGTATATAACTTGTCGTTTATCCACCGTGATCTCTGGTATATAATCCCGTGTCTATACTTACAGATGATTTCAGTGGTCTTCTAGAGATGCACCCGACCAATGTGAAACACCTGTACATGGTCGACGCTGGTCTTACATTTAATTCACCCTATCCTCTGGTCCTCCGTCCGCAGAGGTGCTGTAATATTATACTGTCCTTTGACTTCAGTGCCAGACCAGGGGACTCAACTCGTCCATTCAAGGTAAAACGTCCCTTGTACAGCTATGGAGTATAACTTCAAAACAAATCAGAAATAGTCAGTGGTTAAGTCCTTTGCTTTATTTGTTGATACATGCTACGCACAAAGTATTAGTTGGTAGACATTTTCTGAGCGTTAACAATGTAAATGTTAACGATTTTGACATAAGTTTTGATTTTATTTACTTTCACTTCAAGAGACTCACAAATGTGTTACTACTTGGATAGTCTAAAGCATCAACACAATACAGGTTCAGACATCATAGTTTGTATTTAAGACCTTAAATATATTTTTATGTATTATTTTTATTTGGCCCTTCAACAATCGCTTCAATGGCAATATAACTTGAATGATGCATGGCAAGTTACGCAAATCTTAGCAATAAAAATAGGTCCTTTCAGATAAACCTGTTATTTCATAAATAGAAATTAACATGTTAGTTGTGCGTGCTGATATATGATATTAATATGAAAAAACATTCACGTTTAAAATGACATCGAATAGATTGACAACTGGAGTTCGGTAAATTCCTAGAGTATGTATACTTTGGTTTGTATTTTCAGGAACTTCTGTTAGCGGAGAAATGGGCGAAACTAAATAAACTTTCCTTCCCACCGATCGACTCCACTGTCTTTGATAGAGAGGGCATGAAGGAGCTTTACATCTTCCGACATCCGGACGATCCCTACTGTCCTATAGTTCTCCACTTCGTCCTCGTAAACATTGAGTTCCGGAAATTTGTCAGCCCAGGTAAGAAAATCTTACCAAATGTTATTTTAAACATTTCCTCAAATTTTTCGCGATATCACAGAAACAGAACATTTTTTTTGACAATAATTTGGCTTTACTGTATCAAATTCTAAATGTGTGATTTCGTACTCATCTCTGTATACTACATACTATGTATAGATCAAAAATACTGTCTTGAATTAAGATACTGATCGAGATATTGTCCAGTTGAGACTGTACCTTCAATTATTGTCCAACATCGGTCGAGACATTACCCTCAATATTGTCCAACATCAGTCGAGACTTTACTCTCAAATATTGTCCAACATCGGTCGAGACATTACCCTCAATATTGTCCAACATCACTCGAGACATTACTCTCAAATATTGTCCAACATCACTCGAGACATTACCCTCAATATTGTCCAACATCAGTCGAGACATTACTCTCAAATATTGTCCAACATCACTCGAGACATTACCCTCAATATTGTCCAACATCACTCGAGACTTTACCCTCAAATATTGTCCAACATCAGTCGAGACATTACCTTGAAATATTGTCCAACATCGGTCGAGACATTACCCTCAATATTGTCCAACATCACTCGGGACATTACTCTCAAATATTGTCCAACATCACTCGAGATATTACTCTCAAGTATTGTCCAACATCACTCGAGACATTACCCTCAAATATTGTCCAACATCGGTCGAGACATTACCCTCAATATTGTCCAACATCACTCGGGACATTACCCTCAATATTGTCCAACATCAGTCGAGACATTACTCTCAAATATTGTCCAACATCACTCGAGACATTACCCTCAATATTGTCCAACATCACTCGAGACTTTACCCTCAAATATTGTCCAACATCGGTCGAGACATTACCTTGAAATATTGTCCAACATCAGTCGAGACATTACCCTCAATATTGTCCAACATCACTCGGGACATTACTCTCAAATATTGTCCAACATCACTCGAGATATTACTCTCAAATATTGTCCAACATCACTCGAGACATTACCCTCAAATATTGTCCAACATCGGTCGAGACATTACCCTCAAATATCGTCTAACATCACTCGGGACATTACTCTCAAATATTGTCCAACATCACATTACTCTCAAATATTGTCCAACATCACTCGAGACATTACCCTCAAATATTGTCCAACATCGGTCGAGACATTACCCTCAATATTGTCCAACATCACTCGGGACATTACCCTCAATATTGTCCAACATCACTCGAGACATTACTCTCTCAACATATTGACATTCCAAACATCACTCGAGACATTACCCTCAAATATTGTCCAACATCACTCGAGACATTACCTCTCAAATATTGTCCAACATCACTCGAGACATTACCCTCAAATATTGTCCAACATCACTCGAGACATTACTCTCAAATATTGTCCAACATCACTCGAGATATTACTCTCAAATATTGTCCAACATCACTCGAGACATTACCCTCAAATATTGTCCAACATCACTCGAGACATTACCCTCAAATATTGTCCAACATCACTCGAGACATTACTCTCAAATATTGTCCAACATCACTCGCGATATTACTCTCAAATATTGTCCAACATCACTCGAGACATTACTCTCAAATATTGTCCAACATCACTCGAGACATTACCCTCAAATATTGTCCAACCGAGACATTACCCTCAAATATTGTCCAACATCACTCGAGACATTACTCTCAAATATTGACTCAAATATTGTCCAACATCACTCGGGACATTACTCTCAAATATTGTCCAACATCACTCGAGACATTACCCTCAAATATTGTCCAACATCAGTCGAGACATTACCCTCAAATATTGTCCAACATCACTCGAGACATTACTCTCAAATATTGTCCAACATCACTCGAGACATTACTCTCAAATATTGTCCAACATCACTCGAGACTCTCAATATTGTCCAACATTATTACTCTCAAATATTGTCCAACATCACTCGTGATATTAATCTCAAATATTGTCCAACATCACTCGAGACATTACCCTCAAATATTGTCCAACATCAGTCGAGACATTACCCTCAAATATTGTCCAACATCACTCGGGACATTACTCTCAAATATTGTCCAACATCACTCGAGATATTACTCTCAAATATTGTCCAACATCACTCGAGACATTACCCTCAAATATTGTCCAACATCGGTCGAGACATTACCCTCAAATATTGTCCAACATCACTCGGGACATTACTCTCAAATATTGTCCAACATCACTCGAGACATTACTCTCAAATATTGTCCAACATCAGTCGAGACATTACCCTCAATATTGTCCAACATCACTCGAGACATTACCCTCAAATATTGTCCAACATCGGTCGAGACATTACTCTCAAATATTGTCCAACATCACTCGGGACATTACTCTCAATATTGTCCAACATCACTCGAGACTTTACCTTCAAATATTGTCCAACATCAGTCGAGACATTACCCTCAATATTGTCCAACATCGGTCGAGACATTACTCTCAAATATTGTCCAACATCACTCGGGACATTACTCTCAAATATTGTCCAACATCACTCGAGATATTACTCTCAAATATTGTCCAACATCACTCGAGACATTACCCTCAAATATTGTCCAACATCAGTCGAGACATTACCCTCAATATTGTCCAACATCACTCGGGACATTACTCTCAAATATTGTCCAACATCACTCGAGATATTACTCTCAAATATTGTCCAACATCAGTCGAGACATTACGTTGAAATATTGTCAAACATCACTCGAGACATTACCCTCAAATATTGTCCAACATCGGTCGAGACATTACCCTCAAATATTGTCCAACATCACTCGGGACATTACTCTCAAATATTGTCCAACATCACTCGAGACATTACTCTCAAATATTGTCCAACATCAGTCGAGACATTACCCTCAATATTGTCCAACATCACTCGAGACATTACCCTCAAATATTGTCCAACATCGGTCGAGACATTACCCTCAAATATCGTCTAACATCACTCGGGACATTACTCTCAAATATTGTCCAACATCACTCGAGACATTACTCTCAAATATTGTCAAACATCACTCGAGACATTACCCTCAAATATTGTCCAACATCAGTCGAGACATTACCCTCAATATTGTCCAACATCGGTCGAGACATTACCTTCAAATATTGTCCAACATCAGTCGAGACATTACCCTCAATATTGTCCAACATCACTCGAGACATTACCCTCAAATATTGTCCAACATTCTTCAAATAAAAAAACCCACTAATTTTCCAAAGGACGTCAATCATGCAGATATGGTGCTAAATCAGCTGCGAGAATTATCCACATTTTGGTAAACAGCAGTCCCGAACATATAGCCTTAACATTTCTAAAGATAGCATCAATTTTCGACTAATATGTTGTTTGTGTGTTACGTTGCAGGCGTGCCAAGAGTCACAGAAGAAGAACTTGAATTTGCAAACTTCGACATTTTTGATGACCCTGCGACGCCATATTCAACATTCAATTTTAAATATTCACATGACGCATTCATGAAGTTATCAAAGCTAACAGAATTCAACACCTTGCTTCACATAGAGGATATTAAGTCTGTGATTGCAGACCAAATCGTCAAAAAGAGAGAAAATCCTACTAGATTACCATGCTCTTTGAAGGAAGTGAATAACTTACGCCGTGTCAGTGTGAAAAACAGGCAGAGGTTAAGCAGATACCTGTCCCAATTAGGCACAAGGCGATCACGTGTTACCAGTTCAGGAGACGTGCTCTCAAGCAGTGGCGGTTCGCCTTCTAGTCCCAGTCAGCAAATGAATCTGGCCAAGTCAGCGAACGAGGCGGGATTCCGGAGGGACGATCCGGAACGAAAACCCATGACCAAGAGCAAACGAAGACTCGCACACACACGCCGTAATGATTTCGCAGCGCTTGGAGGGCTATCTTCTCCTTTGGAAGATGACGAATATGACGGAAAAGCAAAAGACGCAACGCTGAGGAGTAGGCCAGGTAGACTAGCGAAAATAAATACTAAAGGAGATGGGGAGGAACAGTGGGAGGATGCTACATGTGATTCTATCGATGAAGATAGTGACAACGATCAGTTTTACTCTGTCATGTCAGATGTTATTTGATGGTCATGTGCTCTACCTACTACAGCCCTTAAAAATAGGTATTTTGCTCAAACATACCGCCCACGATTGAGCGCCATGCTCATGTGGTAATATTGAATAAATCACATGCAGAACGATCGATTTATTTGAGCTTAAGCCGACTCTCAACAGAGCTGAGCTTGATGATATTACCAAGGAAAATATCGCAGAATAAACAAAACAGCATGTAAATTCATGTCGAATGTATTGCTTGTTGACACGAGAATAGATAACAAGGTACACCATCTAAAGAGGAACGTGTGTTTGAAAGAGGAGTTGCTTGTCTCTTGTCTTAGAGGGATTCGTTGGATATTGGAGTGACTTTTGTGAACATTGAAGTTAATACATCGAATACAATTTCAAATGTTTTACTATTGCTGTGGTCTGATGAACAATATATATTTACATCACATCTTCGGCAGATATACACAAGGTCCATTTTAACAACCATTTTTAACTCCATTCGTATGAAAGCCATTTTAAGTTTTGCAGGATTCATCAGTCATCATACTTTGAATATCATCCATACAGCATCAAGTAACGACACCTCTGGTCACCTCTATAACTTTAATATGTACCTTCACAAACTGCGACTATATCTCATCATTTTACCATCATATATGGTATTGCTAAGAATAAAATGAAAAGTATTGTAGTAGAATGTATTTGGTAGTAGACAGTTTACTATATTGATTCCATTATCAGCCCACTTCATCAGATGGTAAGCTGTTCAAATCGCCGTGCGTCCGTCCTTAAACAATTTTTGTTATAATTATTTGTGAATTTTCATTTGCTCGTTACCCGTCGTCTCCTGTTTAGCATAATAGGTCATGTTTGGATCGGTCGAAGGAACAAGCACCTGAAAGACGACATCTTGGTTATTGACATTCATAGACTGTTATCGCTATTATTGCAAAAGTAACAGATGGATAATTTTAAAACTCATATGCAGGTTTCTCTTAGAACCCAGTTGTGCATTTTGGAATTAATATGAAAAAACAAAATGGCCGACAGACGGCCATTTTGGATGTTGTCTATGAAAAATGATTATTTCTATTTCATGAGAATTACTGGCTGGATCTTTCTTTCATATGGTGGTTCTTTTGTTCCTAGTTGAGCCCTTTTGATTTTGGACTGATAAAGATAAAACCCAGATTTGCCGGGAGGCGACTATCTTGGGTTTGACAGATAAAGATTAACGTCGCTATTTCTCGAGAGCGAATTTTTTATATAACGAAGAGAAAAACAAACAGAAAAGAAGAGAATCTAACAGTAATGATCAAAGTTGATTTGAAAAATAAAAAAATGTGAGCGCCAAGATACTTGTGGGATCTATTGATGAAATTACCTAGTCAACATTTGATTTTCTTTTTGATTTGGAGATCAATAAAACATTGTGATTTATAAGAATGTCCTTCACAAAAGGAAGCGCAATACCGTAAAAAAAGCTGGTAAGAAATGTTTAGTGTAAAAGCATAATCCCGGAACACTTGCAAAACAGAAATGCTTTGTAAGTTTACGGATACGTATGCTGGTTCGAGTTCGAAGATATGAATGTTAATGTGGGTTAAATCATGTATATGATCATTTATGTAGTCGTAAGTCAGAGGTGTGTTAATGAAAGTGTTTGAAAACGTATTTCAATAATATGGATGGAATGGAGGATGACAGATTAGAAGTTGAATTGGAAAAGTACGGAATGAGAATTTGTATGATGAAAAAAACATTCATCACAGTATATGTTACACCGCAAATTTTATTTTATTCCGTCAGTTAAAGAAATAGAATGAAGGTTTCCAATAGGAAAGACGAGAATATAAGATATATGGTGCAGATGAGAGATGTAAATGGCAAGAATACCTAAGTACTTAAGTTATTATGTTATACGTCAGAGAAATTTTCCATTTTTATTTGCATTTTAATTTTATCGATTTGTTCTTAAATAAAAAAATGTCTGATAAAAATGTATTGCTTCTGTTCAGTGGTAACTAAAATTCAAGGCACCCAAATGGTAACTTTGGATCAAATCAGACAAGTGGTGTTTCAGAATCAAATAACACACATATTGACTTTTAAGAAAGTCACACAAGTGGTGACTCTAGTTCAAGTCACTCAAGTGGTGACTCTAAATCAAGTCACACAAGTGGTGACTCTAAATCAAGTCACACATGTGGTCACTCTAGTTCAAGTCACACAAGTGGTCACTCTAGTTCAAGTCACGCAAGTGGTGACTCTAAATCAAGTCACACATGTGGTCACTCTAGTTCAAGTCACACAAGTGGTGACTCTAAATCAAGTCACACAAGTGGTCACTCTAAATCAAGTCACTCAAGTGGTCACTCTAAATCAAGTCACACAAGTGGTCACTCTAGTTCAAGTCACACAAGTGGTCACTCTAGTTCAAGTCACACAAGTGGTCACTCTAGTTCAAGTCACGCAAGTGGTCACTCTAGTTCAAGTCACACAAGTAGTGTCTCTAAATCAAGTCACACATGTGTTGACTCTAAATCAAGTCACACAAGTGGTCACTCTATTTCAAGTCACACATGTGGTCACTCTAGGATCAAGTCACACAAGTGGTGAATTGGAAAAGTCACACATGAGAATTTGTATGATGAAAAAAACATTCATCACAGTATCAAGTCACACATGTGGTCACTCTAGTTCAAGTCACACAAGTGGTCACTGAAGGTTTCCAATAGGAAAGTCACACATGTGGTCAATCTAGATATAAGTCACACAAGTGGTCACTAGTTCAAGTCACGCAAGTTATTCTAAACCATGTGGTCATGAGAGAAATTGGTCAGTTTTTTATTTGTCACACATTTTAATTTCACACAATTTGTTCTTAAATAAAAAAAGTCACACATGTGTATTGCTTCTCAAGTCACACAAGTGGTAACTCTAATTCAAGGCACCCAAATGGTAACTTTGGATCAAATCAGACAAGTGGTGTTTCAGAATCAAATAACACACATATTGACTTTTAAGAAAGTCACACAAGTGGTGACTCTAAATCAAGTCACACATGTGTTGACTCTAAATCAAGTCACTCAAGTTGTCACTCTAAATCAAGTCACACAAGTGGTGACTCTAAATTAAGTCACGCAAGTGGTGACTCTAAATCAAGTCACTCAAGTGGTCACTCTAGTTCAAGTCACACAAGTAGTGTCTCTAAATCAAGTCACACATGTGTTGACTCTAAATCAAGTCACGCAAGTGGTGACTCTAAATCAAGTCACGCAAGTGGTGACTCTAAATCAAGTCACATTCATGTGTTGACTCTAGTTCAAGTGCAAGTGGTGACTGAGAGATGTATCAAGTCACATTTTTATTTGCAAGTGGTGTATTGCTTCTGTTCTGGTAACTAAAATTCAAGGCACCCAAATGGTAAAATCAGACAAGTGGTGTTTCAGAATCAAATAACACACATGTGAAAGTGACTCTAAATCAAGTCACACATGTGTTGACTCTAAATCAAGTCTAAATCAAGTCACGCAAGTGGTGACTCTAAATCAAGTCACGCAAGTGGTGACTAAATCAAGTCACGCAAGTGGTGTCTTTAAATCAAGTCACACATGTGTTGACTCTAAATCAAGTCACACAAGTGGTGACTCTAAATCAAGCCACACATGTGGTGACTCTAAATCAAGTCACTCAAGTGATGACTCTAAATCAAGTCACTCAAGTGGTGACTCTAAATCAAGTAACACAAGTGGTGACTCTAAATCAAGTAACACAAATGGTGACTCTAAATCAAGTAACACATGTGGTCACTCTAGTTCAAGTCACACATGTGGTGACTCTAAATCAAGTCACACAAGTGGTGACTCTAAATCAAGTCACTCAAGTGGTCACTCTAAATCAAGTCACACAAGTGGTGACTCTAAATCAAGTCACACATGTGGTGACTCTAAATCAAGTCACACATGTGTTGACTCTAAATCAAGTCACACAAGTGGTGACTCTAAATCAAGTCACATAAGTGGTGACTCTAAATCAAGTCACACAAATAGTGACCCAGAATCAAATCTCATGAGTGATAACTGTAAATCAAGGCACACAAGTGGTGAACCAGAATCAAATCACGCAAGTGGTGACTAAATCAAGTCACAAAAGAGGTAACTCTGATAAAGATGTACATGAATATTATATAGGTGTAATAGATGTATTGATATGTGATCAAACAGTCAAACTCACGTAAATACAGCTTGTAATCATAACTTAATTTGGCAGTAAGGTTAACGATACAATAACATGGGTTTGAATCCCGCTGATAGTTACTATGATATAAATGAATTCAACTTCAAATCTAACGGATGTAAAGGGTTTTATGATAATTTCAGTGGTATTTATGTCCGGTCACGGGAACACGTGAATCTCAGGGGTTCAAAAAAGCATTTCTCCGGCAACACCGGCTCTCCTCAACCATCCACACCTAGAACGTCCTCAAGTAACCATGGCTGTTAATAGGACGTAAAGCGACAATAAAAGGTATCTGACATTGAGCCAGTTGTATTGAATTGAAAGTCAACCCGTCGTTTGGAAAGCTTACCTTACCTTGGTGAGTTTTTCTTACGAACTCCTTACTTATTGGACTTCGTCAAACTATTTGTTTATACAGTTTCTGTTGTTTTGTCGAATTTCGCTTGCGCATTATCTTTCCTCTGATTTCGGAATTGGTCGACAAAATCCAATGTATCGAAGACAAAGAAGAAATCAAAAGATGTTGGTCTTGAGTCGCCTATCTCTGCTATTGAATTAGAAACGATCATACTAATTACCTCGTCCAATATGATTGTAATAGTGGAAACGCCTTGACCTTTATCAGACCATAGCATGACCTTTATCAGACCATAGCATTGTTATCATGTCATTGATGACAAAACGACACCCAGACCATAGCATTGTTATCATGTTATTGATGACAAAACGCCACCCAGACCATAGCATTGTTATCATGTTATTGATGACAAAACGCCACCCAGACCATAGCATTGTTATCATGTTATTGAAGACAAAACGACACCCAGACCATAGCATTGTTTTCATGTTATTGATGACAAAACGCCACCCAGACCATAGCATTGTTATCATGTTATTGATGACAAAACGACACCCAGACCATAGCATTGTTATCATGTTATTGATGACAAAACGCCACCCAGACCATAGCATTGTTATCATGTCATTGAAGACAAAACGCCACCCAGACCATAGCATTGTTATCATGTCATTGATGACAAAACGCCACCCAGACCATAGCATTGTTATCATGTCATTGATGACAAAGCGCCACCCAGACCATAGCATTGTTATCATGTCATTGATGACAAAACGCCACCCAGACCATAGCATTGTTATCATGTCATTGATGACAAAACGCCACCCAGACCATAGCATTGTTATCATGTCATTGATGACAAAACGCCACCCAGACCATAGCATTGTTATCATGTCATTGATGACAAAGCGCCACCCAGACCATAGCATTGTTATCATGTCATTGATGACAAAACGCCACCCAGACCATAGCATTGTTATCATGTCATTGATGACAAAACGCCACCCAGACCATAGCATTGTTATCATGTTATTGATGACAAAACGACACCCAGACCATAGCATTGTTATCATGTTATTGATGACAAAACGACACCCAGACCATAGCATTGTTATCATGTTATTGATGACAAAACGACACCCAGACCATAGCATTGTTATAATGTTATTGATGACAAAACGACACCCAGACCATATCATTGTTATCATGTCATTGATGACAAAACGCCACCCAGACCATAGCATTGTTATCATGTCATTGATGACAAAACGACACCCAGACCATAGCATTGTTATCATGTCATTGATGACAAAACGACACCCAGACCATATCATTGTTATCATGTCATTGATGACAAAACGCCACCCAGACCATAGCATTGTTATCATGTTATTGATGACAAAACGCCACCCAGACCATAGCATTGTTATCATGTCATTGATGACAAAACGACACCCAGACCATAGCATTGTTATCATGTCATTGATGACAAAACGACACCCAGACCATATCATTGTTATAATGTCATTGATGACAAAACGACACCCAGACCATAGCATTGTTATCATGTCATTGATGACAAAACGCCACCCAGACCGTACAAAACGCCACCCAGACCGTAGCATTGTTATCATGTCATTGATGACAAAACGCCACCCAGACCATAGCATTGTTATCATGTCATTGATGACAAAACGCCACCCAGACCATAGCATTGTTATCATGTCATTGATGACAAAACGCCACCCAGACCATAGCATTGTTATCATGTCATTGATGACAAAACGCCACCCAGACCGTAGCATTGTTATCATGTCATTGATGACAAAACGCCACCCAGACCATAGCATTGTTATCATGTCATTGATGACAAAACGCCACCCAGACCATAGCATTGTTATCATGTCATTGATGACAAAACGCCACCCAGACCATAGCATTGTTATCATGTCATTGATGACAAAACGCCACCCAGACCATAGCATTGTTATCATGTCATTGATGACAAAACGCCACCCAGACCATAGCATTGTTTTCATGTCATTGATGACAAAACGCCACCCAGACCATAGCATTGTTATCATGTTATTGATGACAAAACGACACCCAGACCATAGCATTGTTATCATGTCATTGATGACAAAACGCCACCCAGACCATAGCATTGTTATCATGTTATTGATGACAAAACGCCACCCAGACGGCTGATCATTTTGCTTTCTAATGAAGTATGATTAACATTTTGATTTCAATTATTCAACAAAATACTCAATTACAGTGATTGCCTTTGGATTTTCCATAAACGTTATCTGTGATTTACGTCAGAGCAGGACTTATGATAGCCGCCATCGGCTGTCGTAGTAATGGTGAGACCGGTACATCAAAACAAATGAAAAAATAAAACATTTAAACAAAACAGCAAAAAAACTGTGGATTTTATTCATAAGTTACATGCCTTAGATATCTTAAAGGAAGGAAATAATTATGACGACTTAAAGTTAATAATTCAATATTTTACACTTTTGATGTTTAATGACGTTATACGACTTTCCGTATACCAAGAAGGAATGGTATCTAAGTAACATTTCTCCCTACAGTTAATGGATTAACGCTTCCATTATATCTACACGTATGATCTTAAGGACATAAATAGGATAATTGTCTATTCCCTATCTACACTCACCAAGTCCAAACTTACGCCGTCAATGTGTGTTAAAATCTAGACCCTGCATTATGGAAAGTACATTAGGACAATATTAGTTACACAGAGAAGAGAATACAATATCGGAGAAGGCAAATATACAGCAGTATCACACAAATGGACAACTACATTGTTTGTTTTGTTAGTATAGAAGAGTTTTAAGGGGCTTTTACTCTCGAAAAACAAACATTTCTGATATTGATTTTGAATTTTTGAATTGTGTAGTACGGTAAGATATTAGAATTATAGAGAAATACGACTGTTTCAGTTTACCTAGAAACAGATGAACAGCAGACAAAACAAAAGACAGAACAATTGTACTGCGTTTTAAACAGACAATTAAACGATTGCTCAGCGATACTTTTGTAGAAGTATACGGATTGGAGTTTCAATGGGAACATCGCTATACTTAATAACGTCATAACGAACAACATAAAGTCATGTCATATTTGATAACCCTCTTCATTCTGCATTTAAAAAGAAAAAAATCAGATGTTGAAAATGTCTTTAAACAAATGTAATTATGTGAAGAAGGAAATAATTTAAACACCAGAAATACAGATATTAAGCTCCAAAGCATTATATGCTCACTTAGCTCAGTATGGCAATCTGGATTTATATTAGTAATTATTCTACCAGACAAGAGTAACACAATCTTACCTTATAAGGTTACGCTAATTGTTAAATTTCACTAAAATTGATAAAATAAATAAATGTCTCTCATTGCCTTAGCTGCAGCAAAACTAAAGAATGTTTATTCGACAAGACATGGGTGGGGAACCAGGAATTAACTTATTTGATAAGCCATGACAGGGGAACAAGGAATTAACTTATTGGACAAGTCATGGTTGGGTAATCAGGAATTATCTTATTGGACAAGTCATAGATGGGGGACCAGGAATTAACTTATTGAACAAACCATGAATGGGGGACCAAGATTCACTTATTTGACAAGTCATGGCAAGGAAAAAAGGATTATGTTATTGGACAAGGAAGGGGTGGGGAACAAGGAATTAACTTTTTGGACAAGTCATGGGTGGTGAAACAGGAATTAACTTATTGGACAAGTCATGGCAGAGAAAGGGATTATCTTATTGGACAAGTCATGGGTGCTGAACCAGGAATTGACTTATTGGACAAGTCATGGCAGGGAAAAAGGGATTATCTTATTCGACAAGGAAGGGGTGGGGGACCAGGAATTAACTTATTTGACAAGTCATGGCAGGGAAAAAGGGATTATCTTATTGGACAAGGAAGGGGTGGGGAACAAGGAATTAACTCATTGGAAAAGTAATGGGTGGGGAACCAGGAATTTATTGGACAAGCGATGGTTGGGGAACAAGATATTAACTTATTTGACAAGCCATTAGAGGCGAACAAGGGATTAACTTATTGGATAAGCCATGGGTGGGGAACAATGGATTAATTTATTTGACAAGGAAGGGGTGGAGAACCAGGGATTATCTTATTGGACAAGCAATGGGTAGGGATCAAGGGATTAACTTATTGGACATGCAATGGATGGGGAACCGGGAATTAAGTTATTCGACAAATCATGGCAGGGGAACAAGGACATAACTTATTTGACAAGCAATGGGTTGGGAACAAGGAGTTATCTTGTTGGACAAGCAATGAGTGGGGGACCAGGAATTAACTATTTGATAAACCATGACAGGGGAACAAGGGTTTATCTTATTGGACAAGCCATGGGAGGGAAACAGGAATTGACTTATTGGACAAGTCACTGTAGGTGAACCAGAGGTTATCTTATTGGACAAGTCACTGTAGGTGAACCAGAGGTTATCTTATTGGACAAGTCACTGTAGGTAAAACAGGGGT